ATTGAGTCATTTAATAATATAGGACTACAAGAAATAAAAACCCGAAAGAACAAACAAAAGGATTCAACAATTGATACCTGAACGTCTTGTATTATAGTTTAAGCTTGATTTTACCACTCGGAAGTAATGCAGCCGTTAGTGTAACTAGTCTGATTTACTTGTGGTACTCGATGTGAGCTGAAGCGATAAAATTAATACGTGTAAGAAAAAAAAACAATGTTGTCTACTATTAATTATGCCTAAATATTTGCTTAGCTTATAATTAGTCGACATTAGTAAACCTTATATATGTTTTTCTAAAGGCATCAAAGTAATATTAGTTGTAGTAGTCTTAGTTGTAGTAAATCCGTCAATTTCTCCGTAGCCTGTCTCGTATTTTGAGAACCGGTAGCAGAGCGTAATGTGAACCTGTCTTTAATGTCTGTATCTATCGCATTTCAATCAAGCATTTTGGTTTAGACAACTTTTTTTTTGTATATTGATCTCAACGCTTTTTCCACGTTAGTCAATAATAGGTCAACCAATTTAGGTTTGATTGTTAGAAACATATTGCGATATACTTGGCGCTATTATTTGAATTGAAATAGGTTAATAATTGAAAGATATTTAATGTAATATTTAACTTAGATTAATTTAAACTAATTCTAAAAGGTTAAAAAACTCCGTCTCCTGTGTTTTGTGCCTCATAGTAATAAATTTCGTTCAGTCATTTGAACTAATTCGATGTGATTCGACGTAAATCGTACAAAGCTACGTTAACCAGATGTTAATTCATAAAAAATGAAAACGTGCTGGTTTCTTTTGATTTTCGGTTTCTTTTAATTTTATCTCATTCGGATCCTACGTTTTCAATTGAAATGAAGTAATTTTTATTTTTATGTAGGTACTATGTTAATTATTTTATTTTTACCGTTGTTTTTATACATCAGATTTATTATTTCCTGCTTAAATGGATGAAAAAGTTCACGGCCTACCTAGTGTTATATGGTTACCAGAGCCCATAGAAATCGACAACGTAAATTCCGCCACCCACTTTGAGATATGAATTATAGATGTAACTTCTATAATACAGTACAACGGCTGCCCCATCCTTCAGACCAGAATGTATTACTAATTTGTGACAGAAATAGGCAGACTGGTGGTTTCCCTTAGAGGCCCTACCAAGTCAAGCCTTCTGCTCTTGTAGTAAAAAAGTTATAAACAAATAAGACATTTTTGAATGAGCTTCATATTAAATATCAGCTGAAGCTTATTCTTTGTTGTGTAAGATCCTATACGTATTTAAGGAATCTCTATCTGGAAACGCATTTAGGGTATCTCTAAATAGAGAATCTCTAAATACGCTTAGACAACTGATCGTTATGTAATTCACACATATAACGTGCATGAATGTTTGTGTTTGTTAGTTTTTCAGCCGACGCTATGCGTTCGCTCGTCTATGATTCGAATGTGTTGAAACTTTATTACGGTTATTGTTGGCATTTCGGGGAAGGTGTTTGTCGTAGTACCATCAATTTATAAGTGACGCACGATTTTTTAGAAGGCTGTTCGAACCGGATCCATCAAATCCCTTCAATACCAAATATACACACAATACCGTTACCTCAACTGAAGGCACTTACTTGTATTTGAGATTAGATTTAAGATGTAGCTTTTGGGGCGGTATCTGTATATGTATAGCAAGAAAGACGGTAAAAACTTTTTGAGTTATCACACTCGTAAATCTATACTTAATATTATAAAGCTGAAGAGTATGTTTTTTTTGAACGCGCTAATCTCAGGAACTACTGGTCCGATTTGAAAAATTATTTCAGTATTAGTTAGCCCATTTATTGAGGAAGGCTATAGGCTATATAACATCACGCTAAGACTAATACAAGCGGAGCACCAATAAAGAATGGTTCAAAATCGGAGTATTTTTCCCTTTTGAGGGCTTCCGTTGCATGCACTGCAGAAACGGTTAAAGTTTCGCTAAAATAATGTATGACAGAATTGTTCCCCTTTAAAAGATCTAAAAAAATTCCGCGACAGCATATGTCTATATGTTAAGGTTGGCTCACTTTAACGTTTTTTATGCTAACCAAATTTGTTCTAAAATAAAGCATAATTTGTGAACTATTTCACGCGGACGAAGTCGCGGGCAAAAGCTATATTTAATAATTAATAAATCAATATATATTTTTGTAATGAATGACTAAAATAAATATTCTTTATATACATATATTGAATTGTAAAATATTGAATTTTTTTATTAATATAATTCATTATTTATAATATAAATTTATTGAAAAATATTATTTGTGGTTTAAAATTAAACTTAAATTTGAGCTTATTTACGAATGTATGAACATTAATCTACGAATGCTTCCAATCAAATTATTTCTTTATTTATTAATTGATTACTCGTGTTTTATTGCTTTGCGTGTTTTTATATTCAAAATGTACAAAATATCAGCTGAATTTGAGAAAAAACGACAAGAAGAGAAAGAACGTTGTATAGAACGTATTTAGAATTTAATGCACGAGCAATTAAGAAATAAGACGATCATTTTTTTTTGGAAAGACTATGGCCGAGGGTCGATTTTAGAGATTGAAATGTACCTAAAATGTGTTCCCGGACGACCACCACGATGTAGACCACTTTAGACGCAATTCAAATCTCTAGAATTCGTTTCTTCAATCCAAGTAACACATTACGTAACATAATTGTATTATAACAATTTATGTCATTATAAAAAATAATGTCGATAACGTCAATAAAGATTGTAATTGCATAACTCGTGTGCAAAAACAATATAAATTATGAAGTTGCTTGAAAACGTTTAACGATAAGCCGAAACCACAAGTTATTCTGCATTATTTACGTTTTCGCATTATGTACGCATTGTTCGGAACGTGTTACGTTCGGTACCACGATCACGGGTGGATAAGAACCTGGTGTTTAGCAGGTATTGGAATGCAGGCATCTCAACGACTACCTAATTTATTTTTTTAATTGCTTAGATGGATGGACGAGCTCACAGCCCACCTGGTGTTAAGTGGTTACTGGAGCCCATAGACATCTACAAGGTAAATGCGCCACCCACCTTGCGTTATAAGCTCTAAGGTCTCAAGTATAGTTACAGCGGCTGCCCCGCCCTTCAAGCCGAATCGCATTACTGCTTCACGGCAGTAATAGGCAGGGCGGTGGTACCTACCCGCGCGGACTCACAAGAGGTCCTTCCACCAGTGAAATTTTAAAACTTTAATTAGATATTGAATTCGAAAAACGTATATTTACGAACCTAAAAAATGCTCTATGTACCCTATTAAATAAGAAAAATAAATCGATTCAGAAATTAAATGTATGAGATTATCAACCTACGAATTTTCTACCAGTTTGTTCTATTGTATCATTCTGGTGCGGAAATAAGGTGTAATATGACCTTTGCTTTAACTGCTCCTAGTGTTATCTTCCAACAACACCGTGTGCGGATCACTTGGATCCATGAGGACGTGTCCAGGGCGTCGACGGCGATTGACTGCTGCGTCAGCCCGAGCTGATATGTGATTCAACAGCCACGTTAAGAGGGTTATCATGTGCGATCGCTGACATGAAGTAGCTGACGCTGCCTTGAATTTTTTTTTATTGCTTTTATGGGTGAACGAGCTCACAGCCCACCTGGTGTTAAGTGGCTACTGGAGCCCATAGACATCTACAACGTAAATGCGCAATCTACCTTGAGATATAAGTTCGGAGGTCTCAAGTATAATTACAACGGCTGCCCCACCCTTCAAGAAGGCAGAAATAGGCAGGATGATGGTACCTACCCTTGCGGACTCACAAGAGGTCCTACCACCAGTAACAAAAAAACCGAAACGCATTACTGCTTCACAGAAACAGGCAGGGTGGTGGTACCTACCCGCGCGGATTCACCAGAGATCTTACCACCAGTAATTACGCAAATTATAATTTTGCGGGTTTGATTATTACACGATGTTATTCCTTCACCGTAGAAGTCAACTGGTGGCCCGGAGGCCTTTCCAGTTTCACCAGGACAGGTGGACGAGCAAAGGCTCAGCCAGGATGGGTCGGAATTGCTAACAGCTGCCCGAGCGCCTCTGAAGGAGACCTAACAGCTCAAGAGCAGCTGCTTCGCGAATGAACCTACAACCGGATCGGAATCGCGACCTGCTGAGAATATCCGGCGAGAAACTCAGCGAGCTGATTCATGGGTTAGCTTGCACGTCGAACTCTTTGTCGAGTTCGACGAGTACGGTTACTGGGGTCCCTAAGCCTGCTCCTAGTGTTAGAGCTGAAGGCGTCTAATGCAAAGGTTATTGGATCTGATGGATCCGTAAGGACGTGTCACTCGTGAACGTTTGTTGAGTACGTATTTCATTAGAAAAACCCGCCTGAGATTCGAACACCGGTGCATCGTTCAACACGAATGCACCGGACGTCTTATCCCTTAGGCCACGACGACTTAAAATACTTATCAATAGGTTCGAGATCTAGTTCGCCATGATCATAGCTAAGAAACAAACGTATCCTCGCTACTACAACATTTATTCCGTAACGATTCAGAATATAAACATTGTAAAAATAAACAGCTACCTAACGCGACATCCCGAGACGAACTTAACAAGCGTTTGAAAGTGTAAAACTCGTTAGAGCGCGACTCCGAAGCTAACAAGCGAATTATCATCTGAAGCGAGAGAATAACGCGAACTCACTCACTATAAAATTTAATAAATAGGGCTGTAAACTAGAAATGTGATATCGGCAAACGTGCAAACTGTCGATTCGAACATTGAATGAGATCGGAAGCATTCGTGCGACACTAACATCCCTAATTAAAAATAATGTACATTCTAGGAATATTCTATTTTACTCAATGCTGTTCATCTCGAGCGAAGACTTGTTATTTGAAATTTAATATTGAATTGTTTTTCGACGATAATTAATTAGCTTTTGCATTTTTAAAGATGTTTCAGAGGGCATATAAAAATGTACGTACTGTTGGCAGCGTCGTCTGAAGAATTCGAAGATAAATCGGACGATCGTTCTTCGATTTTCTGAAACAAAAACAAATGATTTATTAAAATGCAATTAAAAATCTAAATATAAATACGTTAAAGTTCATTTCATTCTGTTCAGTAATTCATTCCTTAATTCTCTTTGTTCGTTTCTCCTACAAGTTTCTATTGTCTTCATTTGTGAATAGCTTCGGTGCAATATTAACTTTGTCACAAAGCTCGGAAACTAGCACTGCACTTTCAATAACTAACTAAAGCAAAGAAATTTTCAATTAAAAAAAAAACCGGTGGGGTTTCATTCTCTCTGTTGAAATAAAAAAAAATCAATTCAATCAAGTTAGAGCGCTCCAAAAATAGGTAATAAAAAACCTGAACATTTCCCGGGCTGCGATGCGCTTTCATGCATAACAATTCAGGCTTTGAATTTCTTTAGGATAAAAGTGCCCGTACCTGAGCATACAGCTTGAAACCCGCCGAGCAAAAGACCGTTCTGGATTTCGTTTCATGGAATATTTTAATGGACTCAATATTTTTTTGCTTCCATTTAAAAACGATCGTTGAGCGAAGAGCTGTTTAACAATCCATTTAAAAACGGTTCCTAGTTATGTTTCGCGTTTTCTTTTCTCGTAAGACGATCGTTTACTTAAAAAACTATTTTTACCGAAAGTAAAGTATTCTGCGCACTCTTTTCAGACATTTAATGAATATTCATTCATACAAATACAAGTGATCCGTGCGCTCAATTACTCTTCGACTAATGAATGGGCATTAAACAATAACGAAATAATAATTGGAGAGCGGCATCATGATTACGAGTACAAAAATGTACACTCAAACTTCGTTCATAACGAATTAAGAAGAGATTGTATTTTTAAAAGCTTTGTTCTGGTGGTCGTTGTTTTCATTTCACGGCCAGAAGAGCTCAAATCTCGTGAACATTTTCCGTTATTACTAATGGAATTATTATATAAAAAAAAAGATAAATAGAAAAAAAATTCAAGATACAAATCATTCTATGGTCTCCAGCTACCACGAGTGAGGTCTCTATTGGTCGATACCTGCAATTAGGCCGCAACGATTACATTTAGCGTTCCGAAGTATCTTTAAGAATTTATTCAGAGAGAGCCCTCAGTTCTAGGGAGGGCTACTTTGGTGTTCAGTGCTAAAAGAATTCCTAAATTGCGAAGGCAGTTTACTCTAACTCCTATGGAACGTCACAGTATTAACACTGGTTTTTCGGTCGTCAGAGGAACATTCCACTATTTTTTTATTGGTTAGATAGAGATAGTTAGAGCTCACAGCCGACCAAGTGTTAAGTGGTTACTGAAGCCCATAGACATCTACGACGTAAATGCGCCACCCACCTTGAGATATAAGTTCTAAGGTCTCAAGTATAGTTACAACGGCTGTCCACCCTTCAAACCGAAACGTATTACTGATTCACAGCAGAAATAGGCAGGGTAGTGGTATCTACCCGCGCGAACTCACAGAAGGTCCAACCACCAGTAATTACGCAAATTAAAATTTGCGGGTTTGATTGTTATTACACGATGTTATTCCTTCACCGTGGAAGTAATCGTGAACATTTGTTGAGTACGTATTTGATTAGAAAAGGTGGTACCCGCCTAAGATTTGAACACCGGTGCATCGCTCAACACGATTGCACCGGGCGTCTTATCCGTTAGGCCACGACGACTTCAACGACACTTTTAAAAAATCATTGGAGACTCCCAGAGCTCTATCCTTGGAGATGGGCATTTGTGTAAAAATAACTCACACAGGTTTAACTAAAATGGGCCGCAATCATAATCCAAATCAAATATTTTACAATACCTCAGTCCTATAAAAGCAGCTGCAAAGAGATTTCAACATTATCCATCACAAGCTCAAGTCAACTGAGGTCACAACATGACGTGATCGACGAGAGATACGGGGAGAGTGGTGCGTTCCATGCAAAATTCACATGTTAAATGATACAATTTCAGCAATGAAACCGAATGACAGTAAAGAGCCATTCATACCTCATTGTTAATCCCGAACAATTGGATCTTTGTGATTCGATTATATTTTACGAATTTAAAGTGACAACGATACGATCTACCGGCTCGTGTATCGATAAAGTCTTGCCACTTGACACTTAAACGATATGACTGAAAATTTGCACCAGACTACAATAGAGTCGTGGAATTATTTATCCGAAAAAAGCTGCACAAGTTCAAGTACAGATTATCTTCATACCCTGCAGCCGCGACACCTATCTTCGATCTCAAGCACAGACACTACTTGATTGTACTACAATCGAATTACGAAAAATATACGACTAGACACCTTAACTTAAATTGAAAACTGCAAAGAAAATATATCTGCAGAAAATATAATAATTATTATAGAATCGTAAAATACAGATTTATTATCTTCTTTATCATTCCTATCAGTAATGATGATCAAAACAATAAATGTGTACATAAGATTTCATTTAAATGTAGTCGATTTTCCGCGCGTTCTAAACAGACCTTCCACATGTCCACGGCTCGAATAAAATATGCTTCTATTTTGTCCATATATCTTGTAGGTTGTATGATACTAAGTTCTATAATATAACGTTGACATATTTTATGTCACTTGTAGCATATAGAAATGCTTTTTTGGGATATATTTATAAGGTGATTTAGTCCGATGAGTATTATTAAGTTTTATAGTGTAAGTTGATGTGCATAATAATATGAGCATATTGTGTTGCTTTTGTTTTTTATTTGTGTTTTGTGTAAACTTAAACTTCTAAATTTCTATTTTTTTTTCTTAGTTAACTCTCTACTTATGTGTGATTTTGATGGTGAAAACATGTTTGGTTATTGTTTTAGCAATTTTTTTTAAATAGTATATGTTTATTTGTACTGTTGGTTTCCCAAATAAATAAATATATGATTTGTCTCCATTTGCTTTTGTCCCGCGCCAGTTAAATAGATCGTTGTAGTTTTTCTTGTTGTCGCTACAATTATATATCTAAATTGTTAAGCATTATGAGTATATCTCCAAAGAAGCTTAGTTGACGTTCTCTCTATGCCGATAAGTCCTTTTTTTGATAGGAAGCTCTTGTATCGCCGATCACCTTTTGATCGAATACTCAGTTGCATTATAAAAACTCCTCTCTAATAATAATAAGTAGAGCAGTGACAGCCATATCAGCATCCAAGATAAAAATAATTGGAAAGGAGGAGAAATTAGAAGACGTTGAATAATGATGAAGATCATGGAATATAAAATGAACATGTGTTAATAATAGTGATGTAATGTGTAGCCATAAGTGGTCAAGTTCTGTGATTTTGATTAATAACCGAATAATTTTATCGGATATTATTATATCTTTAATCACATATTTTTCTCGGTAATTTATCGAAAAAGTTTTTTTAACTATTATACATCCATGAATGAAATCGCGGCCCACCTGGTGTTAAATGGTTACCGGAGCCAAAGGATACTATGACGTCAATGCCGTCGGCCAACTTAAATTATGAAGACGAAGCCATAATCGTATAGAATAAGAGTACCTACACAAAATCATGTCCCCGACGAAGTTTATATGGTCCTCGCAAGCAATTTAGAAATGCAATCACTGTCTTGGCGCTATCGACTTCAGTGCCAGTGCATGCACTTTCTAGACGCAGCGGTACTGGATCAGTCAACTGAAAATTGAGCTGTACAAGTCACACAATCCTGGAAAATCGAGCGAATTGGCAATGCAAGATTGGGCCTTCGGCGCTCGGATTATACTAGGATGGTAGCGCATCAAGCTCTGGGCGCAGGAGCCAGCTCACCACTGGATATCACCAGCGATCGCCTTACTCTCCTAGATAAATGAAACATAAACTTATAAGCAATGTCACCAATCAGACTTAATGTATCAATTGCGTCTATTATCATTATCATCATTCTTTCCTATTACCCTCTGCTGGGGTGTAGGGCTCTAATCAAATTTTTCCATTTTAAATTTACATATTCCGTATCAGAAATGTACCGTAAATGGGACGATACGCATTGTTTGCTTTTTTTTTTATCATCAAAAGATCGGTAAATTTCGGAATCGTAATAAAATTTCACAATTTAAAGTACTACAACTGTTATGAATAAAGAGTCTATTTAAAAATTTACGTAAGGAATAAAATTAAGATAAACTACATTTTAAAACGGTATATTGTCTATTTTTTTTTTTTTTTTTGTAAATAATTATCTTACTTAAACCGCTATGTTACGGGTAATTTGACTTCTCGTTTCATATTAATTTATTAAGGTTTCAACAAAACATAATTCACGTAAACGTTCTCTAAATTCTAAACCAATTTAGACTTAAATTTCATTTATTTTAAGCATAAATCTATGTTATTCTGTTAAACGTCTTACATCCTTTTGTTGCAAGGAATGATTGTTTAAATAAAAAGTTTCCTAATTAGGTATTATTTTTGTATTTAATTTAGACGTCTTTGTATCATTGTATTTAACGGTATATCATACTCATCTCTACTACGGAATAGAACAAAAAGATTTATAAATACATAATATATTTATTTTTCAAATTGCATTACTGCAAATCCTTTAGTGGGTATATCTTTCTGACTCAAGATCAATTTATTACTCAAGATAAATACAATGAAATTTGCTTGAGAAAACAATTTCTCTGTGCAATTAATTACTCATGCAAATCGTTAACAACTTACGTTTAATAGGTTGCTTTAATTAAGAGTGTATTTCGAGAGTTATCGCGGAGTTTATGTAATTTAGTTATTACTGATAAACCAGGTTCATCGCTGTGGCCTCAGAGCTAAGGGCACTTTCAAGATCACCTTTTATATTCATTTCGGTATAGTTTATTAACAATGTACAAATGCGTAACAACGTACGAGCTGATGGGGTTCTGTGATCGCACAGCAAGGGACGCTAATTATCAACTAAATTCTGTGTCACAAATACAAAATTTTTACAGTTTGTTTTTATTAGCCTTGTAGGCAGACCAGAATACGGCCCACCTTATGGTCACCGTCGGT